AAGGACAATAAAGTATATTATTAAAATGAAACAGAAGAAAGACTTTGCTCCTGCTACTAAGAGCAAATATCTGTGAATAATGAGCTCTTTAAATTCATCACTCCACCATTTTGACTGAGTGAATGAGTTGAGTGAATGCTGCTCGAATTAGGTTTATTTTGCCCCCCAGAGGTCTGCTTGATTGGCAGGCATCACAACTAGATGCCTGCATATCAAGTTGTGAGCAGGGTAATTGTACGACACAACAAACACAAGCAAGATTCAAAGACCTTTAGTAATCTGCTGATGTGTTGAACAAAAAACCTGATTTGGTAAGAGATTTTTAAACCTATGGGAACCAGGTCTATACAGATGAATTACTAGACCGTGCAGAAGCCTCTTTCCTGTGTGTGTAAGATGATATTTTTGCATACTGTACTTGCTGCAGATGCTCTGCATGCAAAAATCCAATCAATTTTGTTTCAGATTGCCAGGAAATAGAATCACCCTTCCATGCCGTCATTACTCATCTGCTCTTCTCCTGATTCCTGTCTTTATTTCAGATGTGTCTGTCATTTGAGCCTGCCTGTAATAACCCGCTCTCTGTCCCAGAAGGTAACATTTTCCATCAGTGCCAACAATCAGCATCAAATATGACAACACTTCCACACAAAGCAGAAACAAAGACGCAAAGTAGAAAACTAAATGTGGGCACATGCTCAGCAAATATGAAAGCTTTTTATACTTATGCACACAGAGAAATACTGGAGGCAGATGGGACAGACTGAGGAGGAAGAAAGAGTTGCATTGGACATAATCTTAATCCAAATTTTTCATTTTCAGGAATCTGTGGTTTTGGGCGATTCTGATAAAAAGAAAATCTCTTGAGGCTCCATTTGCACTTGGATAAGAGCTAGATTTATGTACTGCACAATAATCATATGGGGGAGGTCGGGGGGGATGATGCGTGTCCAAAGCAGATAGCTTTAGTCAGGTTTCATCCAAATGGAATGCAAATTTTAACCAAATTTCCTGCATCTAGATCATCTAAACAGTCCAGTCAGGTGCAATTATTTGCAATAAGAGACCCTGATGATGTCAACAGGTTTTTTTTTCAAAACTTTTAGAGAGATCCGTCCAGAACAAAGTTAATGTTGTGTATGAAACTGGCGGAGGAGATTGTGGTTTCAGTTAAATGTTAATAAAGCAAACGCACTCTGCCTTGTGCTAAAAGTCACTGTCAACCTTTAAAATATTAAACCAAGAACACAATCTTGCCGTGAGTTGCCTAAACATAGCCATTAAAACGTTTACGCATGCTTTCATTGCTGAAACTGAAAGCTGAAATACTCATTTGACACTTTGCTGATATGTTCAGTAGGATGGGACAATATACGATAATATTGGTATCGGGATACGTTTTTATTGTGGTGAATTTCCATTATCGGGATCATCTGTCTAGCTTGTCTATGTGCAGTCCTATATTGATTTCCTGATACATTTTTCACTGAGCACAAGGGGGAGACCGTATCTTTCCAGTTATTAAATCCTAAGCCTGTCACCATGGCTGAAGGCTCGGTTTGCCAATTGTTTCCCTCACAAAAAGAAGTTAAACTGGTCCAAAGAATGAGAGATCAGGTGTTTGTTTCTTAACTAAATGTTTGCTGATGAGATCCCAGTATGTTTTTGTGCCTTTGAGTTTTAAGCGTATTTGATGATTCTTGGGATAATATCTTGAATCACAATATTTTGTCCCGAATTATCGTGACATGAAATTTTCATGGCATCACATGCCTAACAGTCAGTATTACCATTTTACCACTTCCCAGATATGATAATTCACAACATTTCCTCATTATGTTAATAAGAAAAACGCAGTCAGAGCAGTATTACCTCTCTTACAAAATGTATTTGGTGTTCTGTAGTTTATAGAGGTAATTTCTGTGAGACGGGGTTGCACGCTGCTGCATGACTGAGCATCTCTGCAGGTAGGCGTTATTTAAAGCTGTGTTTCATCGCTCCACTCCAGAGGGAAAGTATATATATGTGTTTCCTTGTTATAATATTTCACTCATCTTATAGGGCTCATCTGTGTCCTTGCATAAACTCCTGTTGTTTACCATTCTGCATCAGCCCATTTATAAGCTGCCATTTTAATATTGGGTTGTGTTTAGTCCAAGCGCCTACTGGCTCCGGTTCAAAAGTACATCTTAAACCCATCCAGTGTTGGCAGCCTAAATCTACGTGACTCATCCAAACACTTTCATTGTTGTTACTGTACAGGGCAGCTTAGTTATGTCCAAACATAAAACGGCTTACATTTGGATGGGCTGCGTTTTCAGAGCTTTTACAGGAACAAATCACCTTGATGGAAAGTGACCTCATCTCAGCGTGCAGGCTCATATCCAGATTCTCCCCCGCGAACTGACCTCAAAGCAGCCACCTGACACACCAAGCAACAGCAGCACTGCTTTGAAGATAGATAATAAAGTCCTGGATGCACTTTCAGTGGCACCAGGAGCCACTCTTGTTTCTTTTAAGGCGACTGATGCAATTTGAGGGGATGGAACTTGCAGTTTGAAAAAAACAAAACAAAAACAATATCACTGGTGAGATCCTGTAAAGCTCTTCTGTGGCTGTGCGGCAGAGGGACTGCGTTTTAGTTTTTAATCAGAAAGAAGTTGCTGAAATGTGAAACGTTTGCTTTGACTTACATAATGTTTGTCATCGTCCTCATTGTAGGCAAGTTTGACCACACCGTAGGAGCCCTGCAATACAACGACAAAGACATTAATCCTCATATGTAGAAGTGTTCACAGCAACACAATATTCTGTGATAATTCAATGCTCTCCCGGTGTTGGTGGTTCAGCCCCGCATTAAAACAAAGTGTGTCATCAACAAAACTGGTGAGGGATTCTGTTAAGAACAGACGGCAGCACCATACTGACAGAATCTTTCGAAGGCAGCATCGTTTCCACTCAAAAACAACATTTTTATTCTTTGGCAGCACAGAATGGCTCCTCCCACACACACACACACATACTGCCCCAGGATGTGTGTTTTCCATCTTAGTCCTTTTTTCCTTGCATGGTTTCTTCTCTGATGACTGCAAATAAGTAACAAAACTGCTTGAGAAGCTGATCATACATAAATAAAGTGAGTTATAACAACTCTGTTGTCTTGTACAGACAAGACCAAAGCCAAAGCCTCAGGATTTATTCATCCATTTGTGGGCCTTAGTCAACTCATGTAAAGTGAGAATTCTTTCAAATGTATGTAAATCTCCACAGTGCTCCATGTTAACGCCTAACTTTCTCTTTGTTTTCTAATGGAGATGATTTGATACCATGTTTTCCTTTCTGACCACAAAATTCAATATCTGGCAATATAAATATCAGTCAGATATTTTTTTTCCTCTTTAATGTCTACTACCTTAATATCTTGCAATATCTCTGCTTTTAATAAGACCTTCAAAAGCCTTTTTGCTAAAGATGCAATCTCTAAAAACACAATTGATGTGCTCTTCAGTCTTTTCAGTGTGCCAGTTTTTCAATCATCTCTATTGCCGCCACAAAGAATTCCCCTATGTGTTAACCACAAAAGTGTTCACCAGCCGTCACTTTGTGAAGTCCATCCAGTGTGCTGTCAGATTTAGAAATGAGACATGTTGCAGCTCAGTAAACTTAGAATTTTGCTGTTTATTTCCTCCTCCTCGTGATATTCAATCTGGTGTTTTTGTCACATTGAGACATTTATATTTCGTTAGTCATAATAGTGGCGTGGCTGTCGGGATGGCAATGTTGGTCTGTTGGNNGTCCAGACTGAAATATTGGATGGATTGCAATAAAGGAGTCAGAAAAAAATAATGACTTTGGTTTAGATGAAAAGTCAGAGGATCACCAGAGCTTGACATCCCCTTCAGCTGTACTTTGTGTTTAGTGCTAATTAGCAAATGTCACGATGCTAACATGCTAAAATAAGTTTGTGGAATTGTAGACTGCAAAAAATCAACATATTAGCATTGTGAGCATGTTAGCATGCTGACATTAGCTCAAAGCACTGCTGTGCAGCCTCACAGCACTGCTAGCATGGCTAACAAGACTCTTGTGTTTGATAGCAGGATATTTGCTTATTTATATAGTCGACCTACAAAAGGTCAATCTAGCCAACAATGTAGAAAATTGTAGCATGAAATATGAAATAAGATTACTGGGCTGTTTCGAACTAGCGAGAAGTCAAGTGTGTAAAGCTAAAGCTAACTGTATAGAGGATGGGCAGGTGGTGTTCAGCTGAATAGTTCCAAAAACAAACCTTCCCGTCTACATCATATAATACAATTCTACTTGCAAATATATCTACAACCCATATAATAAAGACAACTCGTGACTGTTGGTGTGCACATGCTGTGAATGACTTTGGTGTATTTTCTCACTTAACAGATAAATCGAGCAAAGGGTCGATCTTCCCTGAGCTGCTGCTATTTTCCCAAAAGCACTCGCTATTAAAGAGAGGCAAGCAGCAGAAAGCCGACAAACTCACCTTCCCAATCTCGCTCTTCAGCTTATACTGGTTTAACTGGATACAGTCCTGTGAGGGGGGAGAGAAAAGGTAGAGACATGAGGAACTACATCACCGACATAAATGACCATCACTTTCATTTTCAAGCAAAGAGAATCAGGGCCGTCTTTGGTACCAGAACAAACTGTTCCCGCTCTGTGTGTATATGTGTTGAAAGTCATTTATTTCTGAGATGTAGGTAACGATGCAGTCTGTAGTTTCTGTTTACTGTCTGCAAATCCATTAGAGTGCTACTGTTTAAATGGCTGATTTGCAGTTCCATAGCAACCGCCGCTACAGCACAGAGTCAGCCAGGGGCATGGCAGAGGAGAGCAGACCACAGCAGGACAGAGAGATGGGGGGAGAGGAGGGGGG